TGGGGAGAGCAGGGCCGGAGCGAGTGGGGGCTGGCGAGGAAGAGGAGGAGCAAGAGGCAAAGGAAACGTTCCTTCAGACCGTGGTGGGGCCGGGAAGGTGGATTTGGGCTTCTCTTGACGGTGCTGCAGGTTTTCCCTGAGAATGGCTTGAAATCATGACCCTCTCCAAGTACGCAGACTCCTGAAGACATGTGTAAAAGACCCAATTCACATTAACTAGAAAAAAAAAAAACAACCTTTTTTTTTTTTTTGAGGGGAGGGGGAAGCAGGTGTTACAAAGTTACACAGGAACCTAAGGCCAGTTGTTTTTTGAGGGCCTTGAAAGCCCACTCACTACAGTGACCACCCAAAATTAAACTGAAGGCACCCACGCAGGGACACCCGCCGGGGCGCCAGCGCTGCGGTGCCTGTGCGCTGCTGGGGATGTGAATGCAAGCCGAGCCAGTGCCTGGCAGGAGGGTTAGCTGGGAGGGCAAAGGTGGCACGTGCTGCCCCCCCGCGTCCCTAGTGGGATCCATGTTGGTTAGCATCCCACCACTGCATGCAGTCAAAAAGGGAGCCCCAGGTGTCCACGTGATGGGGACTTCAGAGCCATGACAGTCCCAACTGTTGCCCCTATGGCTACTGCAAATGCAGCTCCTCTCTGAGCGCTGATGCACTCATTGCACCTGCCTTCTCATGCACTTCTTTAGCAGGTCCCTGCTCCTCGATGCGCCCTGGTTGCTTATCAGCCTGCTTAGCATGGCCAGCGCCACGGCGGTGCCTGCCAGGAGGCCATGCGGTACCCAAAAAGCGAGCGCAAGGCACAGCAGCAGCACCACCATTCTGCTGCTGGCGAGGGACCAGGAGGGCCAACGTGAGCATTGGGTGATGCCTGGTGGCCTGTCATGTGGGGCCACTGCAGTGTAACACACCTGGTCGTGGGGTCCGCTTTGTCACCTGGGGACTTGCTGAGGCTCAGCCACAAGAACAGGTCCCCATCGAGCTGCTGGCAGCTCGCAGAGCGCTGCTAAGGTGATACGGTGTTAACACCCTGATGGGCAGCAAGCAGGCGAGCAGAAACCATCCGGTTTCTGCTGAGCATGGCTCTTTTGTGGGCTGCCCCCACCGATCGGTGAGGCAGGAGACATCATCGGGTGCCACCGCCCCGGGAAGCGGAGCCCAAGGTTTGGAGGTGCCGAGGGGGCTGGAGAGGCAGAGGGAGCAGAGAAGAAGAAAGACCAGATGCTAGATCTCTTCCTCTCCAAATCGATCCCCGTGGCCACAGCTCCCTGGGGAAGGGGGCCGCCGAGCCATGACCATGGCCGCAGGGGTCCGGGTCGGGCCGATCCAGAGCTGCCCTCCACTTGGTGGCACCTCTCCACGTCCCCGCAGACCTGAGCGTGGAGGCCCCAAAGCTTCGGGATCCAGTCCCGTCCGTCAGGAGACACCACAAGGGGACCGGCCAGGACCCCTAGGCTGGGGGGG